CTCGTTCGTTAAGAAACGAACACGAGCTTATTTCAAACAAACTAAATTTTAAACGAACCGAACACGAACACAAGCTTTGTTCGTTCGTGTTCGATTCGTTTACACCCCTAGTTGTAACAACAACACTCAATCTCTAAAAAGTTATTCTTTGCTTGTATGTTCGAAAGAGAGATTAAACTCCAAATTTAAATTTATGTCGCTAAGATGCGTGCAAATATCAAAGTTTCTAAAGAGATAGATTTGTAAATAAAGAAAAATTGTGTGGTATATATGTAATTTTCCAACATTTTACCGCGAGAATCGCGCGGTCGCTTCGTTGAGGCACCTTCTGCTCCTCTTCCTCAAAGCCTTTCGTTGGTAACCCGTCGAATAACGGAAGAGAAGGGAGCAAGACTGTGCGATGCCAACCATCGCCGGCGTGGAGGACAAAGAGCCTCGTTTATCTCTCCCCCATCGCCCCTTCTCTTCGGACTCCGCCGCCCTGCGCACTCCCGACCGCCGAAGCTTCTCCTATTACCGTCTCCCCGTCCACCTCCTTAACCTTACGGTTCTCAAATTGGACGGATCTTCTTTCGGTATGAATGTTTTGTTTTGTCGGTTTCTCCATTTTTGGACCATAAATGTTTTGAAGCCTATCTTTGCTGCAGATGTGCAGGTACCCCGGACGGCTTCGGTGCGGGAGCTCAAGATGGCGGTGGAAGAAGTTTTCGACAAGTCCCAGATGGACAGGAGAACGGAGAGCATTTCGTGGTAGGGTTTGAGTGTCGTTACCCGAGCAAATTCCGCACTTTTATTTCTGGATTTAATGTCCAGTCTTGCGCAGGGTTCACGTATGGGGTCAATTCTGCTTGTCATATCGAGGGATTAAGCTGACTCAAGAGAAGGCGCTGCTCAAGGACTTTGGTATCAAGGACAGTGATTTGGTTGGCCCTCTTATTCTTCTTATTGTTGTATTTTGAGGGCTCAATTTTAGAGTTTGGCACTTAGATTTTGGGTTCGCTTTTAAATTTGCTAATTGTTAAGTAGTTAATGTTTTTTCTTTTCAATATTATGTTTCCCAACTGGTTCATAATTAGGGTCGTGGTCGAGCTGAGTCGAGTCGAATATGTTATTGTTTGGACTTGGCTTATCAAATTCTAAGTTGTCCATGTTCAATTCTAACTTGAGAAGAGCTTTCACATATATGTTCATACTTGGTTTGCTTAAAATTTTTTATTTTCATTCTTGGTTTGTGCTTGACTTGTTTATATTAATTTAAAATTAAAAATTCAAATGAGTACTTAATTCTTCCTATAGGTCTAATAAGTTAAAATTTTTAGTGAGTACTTGATTTTTTATATAATATTATTGATAAATGATTTCTTGAATCCAATTAAATAAATGTAGGAATAGTTTTTAAATTAGCTTCTAACTACTTTATATCTAATAAATAAAATAATATATAAGTTGTAAGTAAACTTTCTTATAATCAAATAACAGAAATAAGTAATAGCAAATTAGTTTATTAATTAAAAATAAAATAAAATAAAATCGCATTAAATTTATGTGTATATTAATATTAAATTATAATATGTTATTATTAAATATATTTAAAATAAGTTTAGTAATTACATTTTATTTAAAGAATATAATCACATATCATATAAGTATTGAGCATTTAATAAGTTAGATGTTGAAAAACAAATGATTATGTTCATGAACATTAATTAACAAGTGATATTATGTTTAAATTTGATTCATTTAATCATCGAGCTTTAAAAAAAAATATTTAAACTTTTTTTTTATTGATTTGAACAAACATGATCGAGTATTAATTGAGCCAAGTTCAAGTTGTTCAACAAGTGCGTTGGTTCATTGATAGCCCTACGTATAATTGTAAATTAGTGTTTAGATTGGAATTTAAATCTCTTAATTGTTAGTTTTAAGTTGTTGTTTCGAACTAAAGGTGAACTTTTTGATATCATGCTTAGTTCTCAATTTTGCGTTACCGTTTATTCATCCTTTATTCATGTAAATCGTGATTGAGGGTTGACATTACTTAATTTGGCTTATAGGTATCATAGTCTTATTATCTTGCTTTGAACCACTAAAATCCTAAAGTTATGGAGTAAAGTCCTTAGTTGAAATTATGTTTTTGGATTGGGTGGTTTTTCTTCAATGAGCATTAAAACGTCAATCATTCTCTTTCTATTTTATTCACTTAAATTTTCAAAGATGAGGGGATTTTGAAATCCGTGAAACAAGTTCTCAAGCATTCTTAGATATTTTTGGAGGAAGATTGAAATATAACCAGTTATTAAATTCTAGAGGTTCAAGACTTCTTATGGATCTGAGACTTTGTTATCAATTTTCTCTCTTTATTTGAGAATTCTTTTTTGATTAAGGATTCCACAATCACTATATTTTCTGACGGGTACTTGTTTTTACAATACATACATATAATTCACATTTGTTGCTTCAGATTTGGAAAAGAAGTTGGGAAGATGAATGATAAACCCTATCAAGCCCTCATTATTTCATTATCAATGGTTTTAACCAATGGTCCTAATTTAAAGAATTTCAGAGCTAAACTATGATTATAGCTCCTAATTCAAAGAGCTTTTTGTTGTGGTTGTGGGCATTAGATCAAGGTGACATCAAATCAAGAAGAGTCTAACTATGAATTTTTGAATTTATGTTGGTGAGCCTTGGCCGCGATTGTTGGTTGTCTCGTTAGGAGTTTTCAGTTCTCTCATTCAAGGTGATCATCTAAGGACTGAGGATGATGTCAGTGATGTCATTTTTCATAATCAATGTGTCCAAGGTAAACAGAGCAAGCTAGGAGGCATAATCAGTTGTGCTTCAAAGGCACTGTAACAATGTCTCAGAGGCATAGTATGATTAGTTTATATATTCATGAAAATTGTTCTATGCTTATGTCCAATGCATTTTTGCTTTGTTTGGATTTATATGGATTTCTTATGGAGGTGTTGAATCCTATTTTGTCCATCGAAGCACACACAAGGATGGAACTAGTGAAGGGAGAAAAGAGAGTTAGGGAAGAGAGTAAGTGATGAACTGTATTCAATTTCAGGAAAACTCTCCAATAATAATAAAAAAAAAGAGATAGATGCCCTCTTAAATTAATTCCTCTCCTTTATACAGGATATTTCCTTATTAAAAATATACATTAGTTATGATTACACCTGGATCCTTTGGGATCTTATGACTGCTCAAGTTTGTCATTTTCTGTCTAGGGCATATTTATTATATTCCTCCGGCATCTTTCTCCTGTTGTGATTTTATTTGACTTTCTATTGCTATCTGCTCTGTCAATTATGACTGGATCTAATTGGTTGCTTACCTACATGAATTCGCTATAGGAGTGTTTTTCTTGTGGCCAGTAAGTTGCGATCTGATGGTTCACTTAGGGTTGTGGGATCTGGCTCTCGGCGAGATGATGAAATCACAGAATGATTTAAGAGAGATGGCTTTTTACCAAGTATTCACAGGTTTGGGCTTAATTGTTTTCAGACTTTTATGTTTGGCGGCTGATATTCAACCTCTTGTTATTCGGTCACTCGAACTTGGCTGCCATCCGTTTGGATCAATCATCCATCTGGGTTAGATCTTCTAGTGGGCTTAGGCTGAGAGAAGACCACAATGCATTTCCTATTTTTTGGCCCATCAGAACCGCTTTTGGTTATACAGGAGGGGAGCTAGTATATGTGCTTATTTCTTTAATTGTCATAAGAAGTATGAATTCATTGTCATTAATTATTGGAAAGCTTGTTGATCATTATGCAAGCGTTGATATTATTTATTGTCGGAGTTGATTTTGAAAACTGTTGTGACTTGGATGACCAAGTGAAAATAAAAGGTCTATTATTTATTTCAAAGCTTGAATTTTGGATCTTGATGATGGATAATTTATGTTTTGTATGTTAGCATGATTTGGAGGCCAAAGGAAGATCAAAGCTTGAATTTTAAGCTTCACTGAAGGCTTGTTTGTTTGAAGAGTATATATATTTTTTTCAAAAGCATTGAAGGTCAATCTCCATCATGTTTGGTTGGACAAGTTGCTTGGAAACTGCAGCTTTTTTATTACGGATTGGTCAAAGCATGTCTTCAAGCAAGCCTAAATCAATAAAACTTTGGTTTTCATTTTTTCTTTTTATGTTTGTCCGACACCCTCCACCCCTGGTTTTTTCTTTGGCTGTGTAATACCTATTTATATGTCTCCATCTAGCTATTTTAAAGTCTAATGGAATGATTTGAAATTTATGTGACATGAGCTGCTTGATCAGTGGCCTTTTTGGTGGCTCTCCACACACACACATGCTCGAGCGCGCACACTCACATCTACACACAGATATATATATATATATATATATATATATAAAGAGAGAGAGAGAGAGAGAGAGTTGAATAGGCTCACTCTTAGCTTTTGCAAGGTTCTGCAAACCTTTTGAAATTCAACCCATGCTTGGCGACGTTGAGGAAATCTTTTTAGTAGATAGAGTCACTCTGCTATGTTAATGGTGACCTGCTAACCTATTGATAGTGGCCCATTAACATTGTCTCCTCTAGGTTGCAATCAGGGCTGTGTCGTGTGTTTTCATGAACTTAGGTTGCCTAAGTTGATTGAGACTTGCCTGAGCAAAGCTTTGGGTTGACTGATCCTAGATCAGATAGATTTTGATCAGGTCGATATGGATAGAATTTTGTTTTATCAGCTAGAATTATTGATTCTTTAGGTTGGGGTTTGTAAGGAAAGGCTCATGATACATTTTGAGGGTACGATTTGTCCCAAGGATGTCAATGTGAACCCTTTTTTAGTGTAACGGTTGGAGTTAAACCTAATAGTTTCCTTGTTATTTTTATTTAAAACTTGTGAGAGATTAACAATTCAATTTAGACAATTGGGACCCTAATACGGTTCTTACTTCTTTTGGGCTAAATATTCTTCACTTTCTTTGATGATTATTTAATATCAATAGGGTCAATTTACTTGAATCTTGATCATAATTTCTACATGTATTTCAACTATTTTTCAAGAGATAAAACTAAAAATGCTATGAAATTTAGACAATCTTGATTTCAACTTTCTAGTTTAATAATAGTGTGGCTAAATACATGTAGTTATTCATCAAAGCTCTTGCTTAATGCTTCTTAACTGGATAGTGTGGCTAAATACAAAATTCACCATTTTATTAAAGTTGTATACGTATTAATTTTCACAAATATTTTTTTGCTAATTTTGGATTGACACAGTGCTGACCACTTTCTATCTTATAAATCGGGTTTTATCTCCTCTCCATTGTAACCTCTCATCTATCTCTCGTTTCTTGCTGAATTCTATTTTCCTTACAAGGACGAATCTTTGATTGTGTATGTTCTATTCTTGCTCTTCATTAGCTAGGCAAGCTCTCTTCTTGTGCCATTTGATGTATATTTCTTGAGTTTTTTTCAGACGCTTAAATAGTATGAATGTTATGTTTGAAAACTCTCTATGTACTCGGGTGTTTTTACTTATCATGTGATAACTTTTTTTTTTCTTTTTGTTTAAACAAATAACAATCATAAATAAACTTTAAAAACAAATAACGAATTGTACAGTATATCCAAAGCAGCATAGATAATGTCCCAATGAAAAAACAAATATAAATTATCTAACTAGAAAAAATGAAATTCAAGCATCCCTATTGTCATGAAAATAATGTAAATATTTGACCCTATGGTCAGGGGTCATCATCATAAAGAACTGTTTACGTGTCGGGCATTCAAGCAACTTCATGGAGAACAAATACAACATCATGTCTTAAAATTTTGAAATTACGTCTAGAATTCGCTTAACTTGTTGAATTAAAGTTGTTTGTGGTATGTCAGGGTCATTAGTGCATGAAACAACTAATTGTGAAATTTGACTTCTAATGAAAATAATTTTTTTCTTCCTTTTCTCAACCCTCGGACACTTTGACCGACTGGTGGATTCAACTTCATTGAGGTTCAGGCTAAGGCCTTCGTTGGACTGAGTTGTTTGTTCGACATTCAAGTTTTCAGTTATGCCAACAAACACTGGCTCACTAGGGGTCCATGCATGATCGCTCGTTGCCGCAACTTCACCAAACATACGATCCAACTTATCTTCCAGCTAAGGGTCAATGCCACTGCATTTGATTTTTTTTTTGCATTTGACACCACTTACAAAGTAATGAGAGATGGATATGTTGATGTATCTCGAAAAATAAAAAAAATTGATAAAAGAAGTGGACGTTTCATCAGTTTTCACCTCAAATCTCTCGGCTCATAATTCTTCTGAAGCATCAATTGTTCGCTTTATTTGATACCTTTCTAAGCCCGTGAATCCTCATTTAAATTTTCTTCAAAATTTTTATTTTTTTTTTCAGTTGATCTCATTTGTTTTTCAATTGCATCATATCATATTTTCTTCTTATAATTTCCTTTTTTTTTTTTATTGTAACCGCTCTGTACGGGGATTGGGTGGGGGGGGGGGGATGAAACAGAGAAAAATAAGGAACAAAGATGAAAAAACGAATAGAAATGAAAGAGGAAAACGATGAATCGAGAAAGGTAGAGGAAACAAACAACTGAAGAAGTGGAAACGAGAGGTCGAAAGTTTAAGAGGTGATTTCGCCTATATAAATCGACTTACCTGTGGGTTCACAGGAGTGCGAAGAGGACAACGTGAGGGTAGGGCAGAGGCAGTGTCTCTGTTGAGCAGAGGAGGCAGCGTAAAGGAAGAGAAAGCAGGAGGAAGAAATTTTGTGCGTGGGAGCTGAAGTCGAGTCTAAGAAGAAGGAGCAGCGGAGGAGAGTCGTGCCCTAACTTACAGTGAAGAGGAAGAGGGAAGGAAGGAGTTTTGTAGAGGACGGTTCTTGCAAGGTGTCGAAGCCATGTGTGACTAAGCTGAAGAAGAAGAAAGGAAGGGGCGAATTGTACAGGTTCAGGCTTAGCTTTTGGTAAGATAAAAATTTTAAATTTTGTATTTTTAATATTATATATTAAATAATTTATATATATATTTATATTATTATAATAATATTGTGAAAATTTTATTTGAAATATGAAAATTAAACTTATAATTACTTATTTAAATTTGATTTAACATTTATTGGATATTGAATAAAATCATAAATATTGATTTAGTTGAAGTTTTGATAGTCAAATTAAAGTAACATGAATAATTAAAATAAAGTTTCTAATCAACAATTGAAGTTCCATAAGTAAGAGATGAATTAAGCATAATTAATGATATGTCTAATATTATATTTTTTACGATATTGTAGGCAGCTAACTATTAGAGATAAAGATTAAACGTATTTGGAACAAGCATACAACTTTGAGATGGATACTTTTTACTTCTAAATTATGGTAATAATGTTATATTTTTTTTAAACCACTCACATTAGAATTAGATATCTTGTTACTGCAACTAGAATAAGATTATTTTGTCTTATTATTCAATTTGATCATCTAGAAATAAATGTGATTGATTTGCATAGTTATACTTTTTATCACACATGCTTGTTATAAGATATTAGATGATATTTAGAATGTAAATGAAATGTTTTATAGTATGCTTGCATGTGCATGTTTGACTATGATGGTGCATCCCTTGTGGTACTGCTAGGCAAACATTAATATACTCGTGCACGTAAATGAAAAAAAAATATTGATATTGACGTGTCTTAATTGACACAATTTTTAGATGTGGTCTCCTATAACAGTTATATAGATATGAAATTGTATTGATATGACATGTCAAATATTTATATTGATTTATAAAAAAACATAACTGTCATGCATATTGTTTTTTCTTTTCCTTGTATTGTTGTAGTTTAGAAGTATGAGTATTAACTGACTCGTTTAACTCACAATTGTTTAACCGACTTTTCAGGTTAATTAAATTATTAAAAGATGAGTGATAGAAAAGAAAATATTTATAGAAGACGCGGACAACCATCAACGAGGTAATTTTAATTGTACCTCTTTAATTTAAATTTGTAGCTACTCTTTCATCTGTTAAAATATAGGCGATTATAAAAAATTTAATCCACATTGTCCGACAATCTGTATCCGTCTTGGTTAATTTCATGCTCCCGGCCAGGTCGTGATATTTATAATATTTTGTCAGACCTTCTTGTTAAGATAGGTTGTTGTACTATTTTCCAATTTCATCTCCTTAAGACAGATGTCACAAAAAATAAGTTGTGCTTAATTATCCCACATAGTAGACGAACTGATTTTTTTTGTCTTAATCATTGTATTACTAGCATGAAAAAAAATGATCAACATAAATATTTGTCATAAAAAACATAAATTGTCATTTAAGATACCTCAACTCAAAGAAAACTAGCATTGCCAATGAAAAGAAAATAATTACCAATACCACCACCACCAACATCAACACCACACCACTACTACAACATCAACACCACTCCATACAAACACCAACGCCAACATCAGCACCACACCAACGCCATTATCAACACCAACACCACTACCACACTCCACAACCACCACTATCAACACAACTAGCACCACATCAACATCAACACCAACACCAACACCATCCCGTATTGTTCTTTTTTATCAAATTCACCATGGTTTGATTGTGACAAGTGTAAATGCATCGGTTTTGGGTGCTCTGTATGTAATTTACCCAAAGCATTGTCATCCACAAATCAAGCAACTTCTTTCATTCATTTTTCAAATTCTCACTTAAACATCAAAGGTAATGATAAAAGCTCATCTCATATTTTTCATTTGAGACAAATACATATTGGGCACCCGAAACAATGCTATCTACAAATGAAGCATCAACTTTCATCCATTTTTCAAATTCTCACTCATACATCAAAGGTAGTGATAAAAGGCCATCCCATATTTTACATTTGAGTCAATTATTATATAAACGACACTAAAAAAATTGTTATCTACAAATCAAGCACACTCTTTCATCCATTTTTCAAATTCTCACTCAAACATTGAAACCATCAATATTTTGTAATTGAGGTAGATGCATACAAGGAACCCGAAACATTGCTATCAACAAATCAAGCACCCTCTTCCATCCAATTTTCAAATTCTCACTCAAAAAATCAGTGCATGTAAATGTAAACAAACTACCATATATACACGACAACCGAAACATTATTATTAATAAATCAAACACCCCTTTTTTTATCTATTTTTCAAATTTCTGCGCAAAAAATCAGTGCATGTAAATGTAAACATACAACCATATTTACGTGGCAACCGAAACATTGCTATCAACAAATCAATCACCCTCTTTCATCCATTTTTCAAATTTACTCACAAAATCAGTGGAGGTGAAGAATAAACAAACACAATGGCAAAAACCCAAAGTTAAGAGAAAGCCATTCCATCTAACACGGCAAGACAAAGCCATTCCACACTCTTT